ACAAATATGAAATTCCGATTGGACCACACTTATTTAATTACAAAAGTTTCTTAGATAATTTGACTGTAGAATAACTAAATGACTTACCATGTGTGTGTACAAATAGTATATTTATTAGTAATTTTCAGAAACATAGCATTCCTTGTAACTTAGGAATTATAAATGACAAAATAGTGTGTGAAATTCTGAAAGGATCTAAATTCAGAATTGCTACGAAATGTAATAAGCAACATAGTCTATATACAATTTAAAACGATATTAAAAAGCACATTTTGAAACTTAATTATATTGCATTTTTTCTACCTAGATGGTTTTACAATGGAAAGTTAATGTCATTTATAAAGTAAAATTTAAACTTTAAATAACATCCAAAAATTACAAGAAAAATATGTAATTGTTCCCATAGATAAAACTAACTGTAATTTCGAGTTTATTTATAAAAAGTTTCATGCACAATTTGATATTAATAAAATTAATAATATGCAACTATTTAAACTGGCTATTTAATCTAAGATTACAGTAGTTTAATTAAAGCTTAAAAACTTTATTCCAAATCAAATCCTTTTACTAATTTACCTTTCTCGTATGCTATATCTAAATTGCATATATCTCCTATAAAATTCAGATTTATTATCAGTTCAGTTAAATTAATCATTAAACAACCAGCCATTTTATTAAATAAATTACTTCACATTTTATTTGACAGGATGAAAAATATAAATAACAGTAACAACGATCATACGTTTTAGATAGTAACAGATAGAAAAGTTAAAACTATTCAAACATTTGATTTTTATACTTTATATACAACAATTTCTTTGAGAAATTTTATTTTGAGTTTATATTGCTTGAAGTGAAAGATATCTTACCTTTAAATATATAAGATATATGAAGTTTATATATTTATAATAATTATATATATATTTTTAATAATCAGGCACTCGATGAAGTAAATGGAGTTCCAATGGGAGCTAAGTATTCTTCTTGTATAGCTAATTTATATCTCTATTTTTAGGAAAATAAGTTTATTGAAAATTTTATATATCTACGTGTTTTTGCCTTAAATGAAGGATATAGTGACGACTTAATCATTATAACTAATCCAGAAATGATTAATTTTATTAACATTATTCGCCCAACAGAATTAGAAGTTGCCAATTCTTACATTGTAACTATGTCAATAACTAACTGTGTCACATTCCCTCCACTACCATTTGGTTATCATAGAAACAGAGCCCAGATCTTGTATGGAAAAAAATATGGAAGAAGAGTGCTGAAACTTCATAAATTTTGTTGTGTAGTTCAATGGTTGTGAACTGACGCCATGTTACTCGAACCTTCTGAATTTTTCTCGATGCTTTAAGTGAGTATTGTTACATCATAACGTCTCGTAGTTTGCAAAAAGTTCTAGGCCTATATCGGCAATTTATATATATTTAGACGACCAAATTAATGCAAGAGGTAAGTTAGTGAAAGTAAAAGAAAAAAAAACGAAATAGAGAAAGATATAAACTGGGTGGTCGTGAGTTTAGCCATAATGTCTGTATAGTGGTGACTTTTAAAGTGTAATAATCGCATATTTTATTGTTATAACAGAACAGAGAAAGTTTAGAACCCAATTGACAAGATGAATTATTATTCTCTACTCTGTTATCACAATACAATCAGTGATAAATTCATTACGTTACTCACTGTTTACCACAGTTCCATCCAGAGCTATAAATAATTCTCTTTTTTACGTCAAAAGTCCACACAAGCTGGTTCAGATACTTTAGAACCCTATTGACAAGACGAATAATTCAACTGAACTATGGAGAATATGTAGGTGTGTATGAAATGTCTTCAACAATAGGAGAAATAATATCTAAGGTTGCCACCGATGTTTTACTGCACCCCAATCTAGTCTTCGTGGGCAAACATACAATGGTGCTGCAAATATGTCGAGCAATACGTTTATAAAATTAGAGCCACTAGTTTTTTACGTCCATTGTGGTTCTCACTTTTTAAATCTCATTACACTGGTAACTTGTACAGCCTCTCCTGTGATTTGGGATTTTTTGCAGTGAAGCTATGAATTGGGACGCTTGTTTAGATAATTGGGGAAATTCAAGGTAATGGTCGGGGCAATAGCAAAGCCTGATAGTGGATCCTACACTACTTTGAAACCACTGTGCTCCACAAAATAGACAGTTTCTACCCCAGCCATTTGGTCAATGTTCATTAAGCACAGACCAGTATTGCTTAGTTTAGAAGAAATGGCTTCATCTAGTGCATCAGATTCAGCAACTAAAGCAAATATACTTCTAGAAAGATGTTAGAAGATGAAACAATTCTAGGACTAACTCTAGCCTCTGAAATGACGAAGAAATGCCTAAACATCTCCTTACAAAAGAGAACACAACCACTGCTGGAATGCTTGCTGCAGTGGAGTGTGTCAAAATATATCTTCAAGAAAAACTAACAGGGGAAAGCTTTAATAAAGCATGTGATAAAGTAACAAGGTTAATCAATTTTTTGAACATCTAGCCAATTCAAGTGCCACACATGAGAAAACCACCCAAGTGCTTTACTAGCGAGGCTGTTGCATATGTACCAAAATCACCTTTAGTGTACTACAGAGCTGAGTACTACAAGCTGCTAGACACTGGATGTACAATTCAGAGAGCTATTCAAACAGAGAGGCCTGCAGCCTTTTAAACATTAGAGATCATTATCCTCACAATGGAAAGACTTACATTATTGTAGACCATTACCCAGAGTTGACCAAGATATCATTACGTATGCAGTTAGCCATTTTAAAATCAAAATATACCTACAATTACAACACTGAAGCTGCACAAATCTTGGGGAACATGTTACCTGAGGTCCGTGGCTTTTTTGATCAGGTTGAGGCCCTTGTGAGGTTACATTTAGTTGTCCCTGCCTCCTCTGCTGAAACCGAGAGGAACTTCAGTGTTCTTAAAAGGTTGAAGATCTTGCTTCTATGAAACAGTCATCTGAACAATGTAGCCGTTTGCCACATTCATCAAGAACAACTTGCTCACTTGAAAAGGAAAACACTCTGCCAACAATTTATTGTTGACTAGTGTACAAGTGTTTTCGGATATTTTATTTATAAAAACTAGGGAATTACTGTTATCTACTAATTAGCAGAGACAATTTGAAAGGTAACTACACAGTAGGTAAGCTATGGCATAAAAAAAAGAGCGGCCTTGTCAGAATTACATTGTAATGTATTTTCTTCTAAAGACAAGGTAGAATTATGCTTCTATAGGTTTTTTTTATTATTGTTGTGGTCATGATTATTTTGTGTGTATGCCAAAACAGGAATTTTCATAACAAGAGGACCATTCTTGATATTGCCATATTGTGTAAATCCAGGTCACAAAATTAATATTTGTATAAGCTGTAGGAAATGAGGAATAAAGAAATATATAAATTTCACTGCTGAAACAGTCAAGATATATACCATAAAAGAGAGGTACAGATAATCTATTATACTTATTTTTTGTACAAAGGCATTTTAACTACATAACATTTTCAACTAAAGTTTATACTGTATCAGTCATTAAATCAGCAAATTGATTTATTTCGTTTTCCAAGAAATACACTATGTATCACTTGTGTAAGTGTTATTACAGTTTCATAAGTTGTATTAATACGTTAATATTGTGCAAAGTGTAATGTGAAATACTGGATCTGTTGAAAGCATGCAATTAAATCTTTTAAAGTTTTAAAAGACGTTAAATTTTGATACAACCGCTATTCAGTGAATGTTCTACACTGACATAAGATAAGGCTTTGGCATTCAGTTTGGCTGGTTTTATGTTTTAAACATATCTAATACTCAGTAGTACAAACATTGTATGTATCTATATTTTATAGTATCTTAAAGCTATGATATATTTTTCAAAATATTTGAACAATGTAATTAATTTAGCTCCAAAAATATTGGTAAAGAGATCTTTTAAGTTCTTTTTTTTTATTAATAATAATAATAATATTTATTTTATTTATTTGAATTTCGCGCAAAGCTACACCAGGGCTATCTGCGCTACCCGTCTCTAATTTAGCAGTGAAAGACTGAAGGCAGCTAGTTATCACCACACACCGCAAACTCTTGGGCTACTTTTACCAACGAACAGTGGAATTGAGCGACACATTTTAACGCTCCCCGCGGCTGAAAGGACGAGCATGTTTGGTGGGACGGGGAATAATAATAAGGAAAAACGAAATATTTTCATGCTTTGGCGCTGTACTTGGTTTGAATTTCGTGCAAAGCTACACGAGAGATATGGTTGCTAGCTGTACCTAAGTTAGCAGGGATAGACTAAAGAAGAGTCAACACCACCCATCGCCACTTCTTGGGCTACTCTTCTACCAACGATTAGTGGGATTGACCGTCACATTTTAACGCGAGCATGTTCGGTGTGACAAAGATTCGAACCCAAGAACCCACAAGATGCGAGTCGAACATGCCAAGCGGCGCTGTTTTTGTTTTGTTTGTTTTTAAACACAAAACTACGCAATGTGCTATCCGCACCGTGCCAACTACGAGTATCGAAACCCAATTTTTCAGTGTTATAAATATTCAGACTTACTGCTGAGCCACGGGAGGTGGGTGGGGAGTACACTGTATTCTGTGCATATTTTTTTATTTTTACTGTCACCAGATGGGTCAACGCTGAAGTTATGGACTCACAACACTAAAATCCGGGGTTCCATTACCTTCGGTGGATAGAACGCAGATAGTTTATTGTGTGGCTTTGCGCTTAAATAGAAACAACATAAATACTGTGTAAACAGCATGCCCCCGGCGGTTCAGCATTAAACGTGAGAGTTTCTAACACTAAAAATCAGGTTTTATACCCACGATGGGCAGCTTTGGGCTTAAACACAAATAAACAACTCTAGCTATATACTGCTCTTGAGCATAATAGACAGCCTCTCTGAAACATTTAGCGCCATCTACTGCTTTATTTAATAACAACATATTGATAGAACAACTAAGCGGAATTAGTAGCGTTGTGTTTTGGTCGAGGAGGGCTGTGTTTTCTACTGTCTGAATAAGTTTCGCAGTAAGTAAGTATATCATTTGGTTTAACTATCACTACACATATTGTTTAAAGCCACCATTCCATGTTGTGAAAGTAAGGTTTTATAAATGTGCTTTTCGAAATTATTATTAGTAAGTTAGGTTGTTTAACGGGAAGCGCTAAGGCGCAAACGTTACAGCGCCATTTCTTTGAAAGAAACCTGATGTGAGAGAACGAGGGAGGTATACTGCTTTCTCTATTGAAGTTGAAGTTTTTTCTGCATGTTTGTTGCATGATGGTTTTAGATTAGATTTTTATACAGAAGTTATGAGTATGGTGAACCTTTCAGATATTAAGCACCAATAAATGTCTGCTGTATCAAACGATGATGGTTTTAAAAATTGAGATTATTTGCTATTAATATCTGAAGGCTACTTTACTGAGTTAACAGAATTTATTTTGATCTCATATTACATCGATGTACGAACATTCTGTAACCGTTTTATACACCAAATATCAGAAATATTGAGAATATAAATTATTCAGAGTACTCTTGAGCATTTCACAATTGTATAATATAAGAGGGTAATTTAGATATTAATTATTATGTCACGTACTGAATTCTGAATGTTCGAGGGAACAACATTTGGGCATCTCATTCATTATTACAAATTAAACTAGTTAATTTTAAAGTCTCGTTGGAAGCAAAGTTTGTAATTGCGACAAAGGTGTTAAAAACATTTTGAATATAGATTTAATGTATACTTGTCCTTGTAAGTTCTTATTTTACAAACCATTTTCTGCTAAAGCTATAATGATAATTGGAAGGATTCCTAGTATTTTTTAAATGGCGTGCTTAAATATATTTTAATGGATTTGTCTAATCAAACTAATCTAGGGTGAACTACCTCCACCAAATCTTGTGCTTAAGTTTCAAATTAATGACTTTTTAACTGATATTAAGTAGAGCCTTACCGAATTGTTTGGACGTTATAAGTAAGAGTTTTAATACAAATTATAAGTGATACTAACAGAGGTTCATGGTTCAGTTGAACAGTTACACACAACTCGATACTTAAACAACTAAAAAGTATAATTGTTATGTAAAGAAGTTGAAGAAACAATGGTGTTTTGGAGCAATGAAAAATTATTTTATTATTCTTATTGTTGGTGACTCGAGCCGACTGATTTCTGTAACACAGTTACCATTCAAAGCCCTGATGATGGTAACCTTGTTATCTAAACTAGTCGGCTCAAGTTTTGTGCCAAACAATTCCCATTTATTCTGCTTTTCTGCACAAGATAGTACAATATACTTTTAAAAGGTAATAACTGTTTCTTAGCTTAAGATATACGACCATTAATAAAAAATGGGTTTAGGGCAATTAAATTGTATATTACTTTTCTTCAATCGATGATTTAGACTCGCTGTTCATGATGAAACAAAGCAGAAAATGAGCACCAACTGCCTTATGTAGATAGAACTTAAGTATGCTGAGATTTATCAGCGTTATATTTTTATACTATAGGGCCTTTTTAAACTTACAGAATGTGTGAGATAATTGGAAAGTGTAGTTCGAGGGAATGTGGGGGGTATGGCTTCTGAAATGATCCTGATTAGAGGAAAATTTTAAACACAATGCTTTACTTTTATCAGTTAATAAAAACTTAAAATGACATAGCTCCAGTTTAAAGATTTAACAGTGATAAGAAAATCGGCCTTTGTCCAGTGTATCGATAAATTTGCCAGTTATCGAGAAATCGGATATTGGTCTTTTTGAAAGTAGGATGCAGCATTTCTATATTTCTATAATACTCTTTAGTTTCCAAACATGTCCGCTTGCGATTTTTACATGTTTCATTGAATTTTAAGATTAAAAGTTAATTGTTGGATAATAATGGCTGTATTTGATTTGAAAGTACAGTTTTATTGTAGACGTCATCTCACTTCGACTACTTTGTTACTTTTGTTAACAAGTTGAACATGCGTGCTTATATACTGTGTATTTTTGTTAACAAATATCGAATTAAAACAATTAAAATAAACTGTATTAAGTGTTAATGTATCAGATTTTTGAATATTTATTTCTCCCTTTTGTTACGAAGGTGCGAATTGCAAACATGTGGCATCGAAGGTTAGCAGTCTTTCTTCTTGTCCTGACCTTAGGGTTCGTGAAGGTGAGTGAAGTTTGTTACCGTTCTTCTTCCTTTATATTATCATTATTCAAATAATTTAATTCATAATTGTTAGTCTAAAAATATATATACTTCTGTTTGTAAAGTTATGTATTTATAGAAGTTATTTTAAGTTTTATGGAGAATAATGTTGTTATTTGTGGTGTGCTTGATAATTTGGTGTGTGTGTTTCTACTGGTGTTTAAAACATCCTTAATCAAAAAGGCTCGTAGAACTCTGTATTACTTCAAATTATTCCACTTCTGTTATTAAAGAAGAAATGAATAAAAATTTATCTTTACTTTCTATGGTCTGAATTTGTATAATGTATATTCAAAACTCGCTTTCTGTGTATAATTCTTTTTTTCTTTTAAGAAAATGTAATATTGATTATGTATTACTGTTACTTTACAAACTAAATATTGTACACGAATTGTGCATTTATTGTCAAATTCAATATCTTAATTTACAGTATTCTTTAATAATGTAATGAAACGATTAACATATTAATATAACATTACCTACGGTCAACAAGGGACAATTTGGTCCTTCACGGCTGTCCTTACACACCCACTCGTGGGAAAAGTAAAACTTTAAAACTATCCTTTATTTTCAGAGAGTAATGGACTCTCTCTCTTCTTAAACACCTATAAACTCACACCCACTCGTGGGAAAAGTAAAAACTTTAAAACTATCCTTTATTTTCAGAAAGTAATGGACTCTCTCTCCTCTTAAACACCTATAAAATAATGACCTCCATTATTGTTGAAGGTAACTCATTACATAAGTCAAACACTCTGTTAGAAAAATAAATCCATCTTAACTGAAAACTGTAGCTTGTAAATTTGTGTCACATCGTTCTACTATCTTCACACTATAGCACAAATAAATCAGAAGCTTTTATCTTACCGATCCTCCGAATATGCTTGTAAACTTCAAGAAGATGCTCTCTTACCATTATTTTATCATAAAAAATAAATATATCTTAAACTAAGCTTGAAAGATAACACTTTCATCGCTGGATTCCCCCCTAGTTGCCCTCCCCTGAATCCTTTCCTAAAAGTCAATATCCTTTCTGAGATCAAGAGACCAAACTGTACATAATATTTCAAGTGAAGCTTAACTTGTGATTTATAGAGATAACTAGTATAAAAGCACATCAAAAATGACGGGAAACCAAAGCCTACCAAATCTGAATCCTCCGATAAACAGACAAGAAAAATAAAGGGCCTTCTAACTTCGGGAAACCAAAGCCTGTCATGAGCAATATTTCCTTTACCTCAAGAGCGTCTCATCCCAGCATCGATCCTTATTCCAGCATTCATTGATCACAATTATTTTCTTATCACATCAAAAACATTATTACAATAGTTCTCTGAAAACCACTTTTCTTGCAAATACTCAATCATCGTTCAAAAACGGCAAATTAATTTCATTCGGTGCTAAATAAATCCTTGGTATAAAAACTCCCTCTTTGATTACCTCTTTTGACGTGAAATAGATATTGTTATAAATAACCCTAAAATACTTCTATTGGCTTTTCTAAAACACAGTACTGATTCGATTTTTGAGTGACTTAACCAGCATTATGCCAATATACTATCCTATAGTCACGCTATTTGATTGATTCCTACCTATAATAAACGTGTGATCCGGGTTATCATAACTAAAATGCGTTACCGTGTACAAACTATAATTAAAGATCATTTGTAGAATATTTGTCCAACTTACCAGTTGATTAAAGTCATGCTATAATATCTCAAAATCATCAATACAGCTAGAAACACCCAAGTGTTTAATTAATGTTGCAAACCTTGGAAATTCACTAATTATGCCCTGTCAGGTATTTATATATGGATGTATGGGCAGGATCAATTTCAACAATAAACACTGTTATTATGATACAAGCTGTGAAACTCACTTTACAAATCGTCCATTCACAAGCAGTCTAACTTCACATTTTTCGCTTTCACTAACTTAACTTACATGTACTAACTTGTTCGCCTATTAATAGATAACTACTATAAAATCACATCAATACTCAGTGAAACAACGAAAGAACTTAAAAAGTTCTGGTAACATGACACAACAACACAACAATCATCGATCTAGTGAACTACATAATGTATGGTTTGTACACAGTTATGTAAACAAACTCGTGATAAATTATCGCTTCTAAAAATACTAAATGTAACACTCACGCTTTATAGCTGTCTAAATCATAACTCTCATGTTAAATTTAAATGAAACGGTCGTGTGTATCTAACAATAAGTCCCTCTTCAAGAAAAAAAAAATTATATTATTTTTACACTATATACGCAGTTTTCAGTTCATACATAAAGTCTCCTCATATAGTCTGCCCCAATATTTGCAGTTCCCTTTTTGCTCCCTTATCCCATAGAGCATCTGGTAGGGCTTCACCTTGACTGTATCCTTAGTTGTGGTCTCGATCTTGTGTCGCACAAGATATGTGTTGACTAGTCTATCTCTGAAGCATCTGCATACTGGCACAGAAGCTCTTGTAGGTCTTTCTTCTGCTTGCCATTCATTTCTTCACTTGTGTTGACATCCTTGTATGTTTCATCTCCCCTCGGTGGTCTTAGGTCTAGCAGGTCTTCATATTCTATGACAAAGTCACCATCTTATGTTTCTACATCTATAACCACCACACCTGCAACGTCCATCTGTGCCTCAATAGCTGCATCCATTATGTCTTCTTCCCTCTCAAAGTACCTCCTCAACAGATTTGGAATGGTAGATCTTTATCAACCCGCCAACTTTCACCTTATAGTTCATTCTGTTGACCATTTCCCGTACCTCAAAAGATTTTTTCCACTGCAGGGTGAGTTCGTTGTTGTCTGGAAGTAGCAGAACCAATACTTTCTGTCCGACCTTGAAATGTCGATCCTTGGTCCTCTTGTCATAGAAGTGCTTCTGACTGCCTTGAGCTGCGTACAAGCTCTCTCGAACAAGTTGATAGGTCTCCTACAGTCAACTTCTGAGGTCTAACACGTACTGGTATGTGTTCCTCATTTCTGACTCTTCCTGTCCACAATTCTTTCAATATCTGCATTGAACCTTGTGCTGTTCTACCGTACAGTAACTCGAAGGGTTCATATCCTGTACTTTCTTGTGGGACTTCACGATAAGCAAATAATACTGCTTGCAGGTACCTGTCCCAGTCACATGATCTTTCCTGGCACATCTTCATCAGCACACTCTTTAAGACTTCATTGCTCTCTCATAAAGTTCGTTATATCTGGGGTTGTATGGGGTGGTAAAGAGCTGCCTATTCCTGATGAGTCTGCACACCTCTTTCATCAATTCTGAGGTAAACTTGGTCCTTCTGTCACTCAAAACGTCTTTTGGGAAGCCTCCTACTCTGCAGAACACTTCCAGGAGGGCTTCTACTATTCTATCTATCTCTACCTTCGACAAAGCTCTGGCTTCTGAGTAACGTATCTCCGATGGCCACCGGCCAATGAACGTTACTGGTGATTTTGTCTGCTGTCTTCTTTGCTCCTAGATGTTCTTCCACAATTGACTCATGAGCCAGCTTTATCACTTGAGTCTAGTATTCTGGTGCTACTATGATCTTTTTAACTTTTCCAGTATAACTGCTTTGATAGATCCGGTACAACACTCCCTTTTGATCCTCTATTCTGTAAGTCCCTTTCCTTTGTGCTTGATTTTCTCCCGGGCGCGTCCCAAAGTTTCTGCAGTTTAGGGTCTTTCTGCTGTGCTTCCTTTTGTTCCTATAGACCTACACTTGGGATGTCATCTTTCGAGATTGCAGGGGCTTGATATATCAGGAAAACAAACATGTTTAGCTGAAATGTTTTTCTTTTTTTTTAATTGGAATTACACTAATAATCCATATAGTTTCTGGAAAAGAAAAGTAGTAACACGAAAGTCTTGTTAAAGTAACAAGCAACAATTGTTTTGGTAGTTTAATTTAATAATGTAATAGTAACTTACACTTCTGTAATGTATACATTTTTGTTTTGTTTTTATAAGGCGAAAAAAGCCGCTATTTTTTTGGTTTCAAACTATGTCTTTATGTCCGCATGCATGAATGCATTTTGAAACTCTAAATAGGAAATGACTACATCAACCATGATTGTTAATTACCAAATGGTAGCTTAATCTTAGAATTACGGGTGGGACCAATCTGCTTCTTGAACACATTTTTTAAAACTAATTATGCACTAACTGCTTATGAGTCTATGACTTCGTTGGATACAGGGTCGCTAATAACATGTGACCCACATGAAAAATATAAACAAAAATAACATCAATATTGCAATTAACCCCACTTGTTACTGATGGAATTGATATGGATGTACCAAAAGTTGGGATTTGAGCATTAAAAATCACTGTAATCAATATGTGAATACAGTTAACTTCATCTTGCTAATTGGAACATGTGAAATATTATTTAGCAACAACGACCTTCTCATTGCCTGAATGATTGAATCTCCAGTTTAGTATCATCTGTGCCATTACGTTAAAGTATTTGATTCAGGCTAAGATTAGTTTCATAATTTTGTAAGTATTTTAAAGTACTGTTCAATTT